TACAAAACAACTCAGGCTCGTCTTGTTAATTTTATTTTTAGGGGTGATACCCTACTTATCAGGCACCAAATACAAGTAAATTCATGAAGGTTTATTTTCCTGACCTCAGTATACAGGACTTAGACGTTACCTCTGGTACACAACGAACATGTACTGAGTGAATGAACAAAGGTGTACTTTCAGAGAGTGGGATTTATTTAATTCTTGGGTATTCACTCCTTAGTACCAAGGATTCCAGTAGGTACAGAAAACTATTCTTAATGATTTCCACATCAGAGTAGGCTACTGTGAGCATTATCTGCCTTCCTGACAACCAAACATATCTCTAGCCTTTAACTTACTTAAGCAGTAAGATGGGCTAGGTGACAGGTCTGTATTGCTGGCACTTCAGAGGTTAAGATCATCTTCAGCTAAATATTATGTTCAAAGCTAGCCTAGGAACATGAAAACGTGTCTTAAAAAAGAAAACAAAAAACCAAAACAGTAAGTCAGAGACAACCCTTGCATTCCTACACAGAACTTCCTTTTTTCTAAAAACAGAGGGCAGGGCCTAAACTTAACCACAGAGGAGAAACTGCTACATGTTTTTGACAGAAATAATTTAAAAGATTTTTATCCTTCTTCCCCCAGACTTTCATATACGCCACTTCTTAAAAATCGACAAAAGTTATGAGAAAATTTTAAATGGTAGGAAACCAAAGGAAAGATAAAATGTATGCCAAGAATCTGTGAAACAGTTAAATCGTAAATAAAAAAGTTACCACGTGATCTAGTAATTGGTAGGTATGTTCTAAAAAAAAAATGAAAACATGCCCACATAAAAAAACTGTACAGAGATATTTGTAAGTCATAATTGTTAAAACGCAGAATAAACCCCATTGTCTAACAACTGGTGAATGGATACATAACACAAGATGTATTCATATCACAAACACATTCAGCCATGAAAGGATTTAAGTATTAAGAAACGCTACCACATAGATGAATCCTGAAAATACATTTTTAAATTTTTGTTTATTTATTTATTTGGCTTTTTCAATATATGAGTTTTTCTGTGTAGCACTGACTGTTCTGGAACTAACTCTGAAGACCAGACTCAGAGATCCACCTGCCTCTGCCTCCCAAACGGTGGGATTAAAGGTGTATGCCACCAATGTCAGGCTGAAAGTACATTCTAAGCCAAGAAAGGCAGTCATGAAGGACTACATATTGCATGATTCTGCTTATACAACATGCTAGCATAGGGTCTAAGGATGTAGCTAGCTAGCATGCATGAGGTTCTGGAGCACCACTTAAACTAGGAGTGATGGTATATGCCTCTAATCTAAGTTTTTGGGAGGTACAGACAGGAGGATGGAAGTTCCAGGTCATATTTGGCTACACAGAGAGTTAGAGACTACTTGGGACCTTGTTGGAAGGAAGGAAGCTGAGGAGGAAGGAGAAAAGATCCAGAATAGGTAAATCCATAAAAATAGACAATAGTTTAGATTGTTATTAGGTTACTCAAAGTGACAACTGATAAATACACAGTATTTCTGGAGCACAATGAAAACATTCTGGAATAAACACATCATGATTTAAACAATTTTTAATTAACTTTTTAACTATTTTTTAAATGTGTTTGGGTATTTTCCACACATGCATGCATGTGTGAATGTGTGTGGTGATTTTGGAGGCCAGGAGAGTGCACAGAACTGTATTTATTTACAATGTGGGTGCTGGGAATTGAATGCAGGTCCTCTAGAGCAGCCATCTTAACCTCTGAGCCATCTCTCCAGTTCCTACAGTTAAATAACTTTGTCAGTACACTAAAAACCACTGAATGAATTACATGATGTGAATTTTATTACAAGGGGAAAAAAAGAAAACACTGGTTTGGGGTGTAGCCTTGGATTCCACCCCCGCAGCCCCCCATTTGAGACAGAGTTTCTCTGTGTAGCTTTGGAGACTACCTTGAAACTTGCTCTGTAGAGTGTTGGGACAAAAGGCATTTGCTACACCCTGCTCCATCCCTTCTCAAAAAAAAAAAAAACAACAACAACAAAAAAAAACCAATGGTCACAGGGAGCTTTGAGTTCCAAGCCAGCCTGGTCTACAGAGTGAGTTCCAGGACAGCCAGGGCCAGGGCTACACAGAGAAACCCTGTCTCAAAAGGCAAAACAAAAAGTCAAAACCAAGTAAAGATATCCCCAGTGCAGCATCCCTTCTTCTCAGTTCTTCTCAAAACATTTTTACTCTAAAAACAACAACAACAACAACAAAAAAACATTTTTACTCAAAAAAAACATATACTTGATGTAATCCATCTCAAAATGACTGGAACTCTAAAAACATCCTAACCAACAAACAAAGGCATCTGTTCATTTTGATAATGTTTTTATAACATAGAACTTTCTTAAAGTTTAAGCCAGGCGGTGGTGGCACATGCTTTAATCCCAGCACTCGGGAGGCAGAAGCAGGCAGATCTCTGTGAGCTCAAGGCCAGCCTGGTCTAGTTCCAAAACAGGCTCCAAAGCTACAGAGCAACCTTGTCTCAACCCCCGCCCCCAGAAAAAAAAAAAGAAAAAGAAAAAAAAAGAGAAAGAAAAGAAAATTGACTTGACAGGAGCCTTATTCTACAAATCTGAACAAGTACAGATAGAAATAGCTGGGATAACTCACAACTAGAACAAAACACATCCCAGCTGACAAAGGAGACTGACACTATGACTTGGTGTAGTTAGAATGTAATGTCATCAGAAATCCAAATTGTGATGGATGTGTTCTTATTGTTTTCTGTGTTAAGCATGAGACAATGCCTTTCAAAAAAAAAAAAAAACAAAACGAAAACCATACTAAACCACACTAATTATAGGAGTATGTTCTGTATTTAAATTATTGGATTCAAAACTCAAGAGGCAGAGCAGTTTTTCAGCATGCCTAAAGTCCTGGGTCCCATGCCCAACACAACAAAAAATAAATAAATAATAAGTAAATATAAAATGAAAGAACATAGGGTTAGATTTTTTTTCAGTGCCGTGGATCTATTAGGCAAGTGTTCTATCACACCCACACACCTAGGTTTAGAAACTGAACACTTTAACTATCTAGGGTGGGTATCACACTAAAATTACATTCAATATACACACAAAAAATTAATAAGTGCTCCGCCCAGGTGCTTACTTCATTCTTCTAGTGCCAGCACTGATGCTTAATTGCTGGGGCAGATAAACTACAGTCATGCTCATGTATAAGATATTTGAACTGGCCAAAACAGTAGTAGTCATTTACTTTTTTTGGGTTTTTGAGACAGGGTTTAGGTTTTGGAGCCCACCCTGGTACTCACTCTGTAGACCAGGCTGGTCTCAAACTCATAAAGACCCGCCTGTCTCTGCCTCCCGAGTGCTGGGATTAAAGGTGTGCGCAACCACCACCAGGCAGCATTAAGTCATTTATTAAGGGGTTCTTTAGCCAATTGTGGTGGAACATTCCTGTTATCCCATAATGAGTTCCAGGACAGTCTTGGCTACTTAGTAAGAGCTGTATTTAAAACAATAAAATAAAATAAAAAAAAGCAGGTGGGTAGTGGTTTTTGCCTTTAATCCTAGCACACAGGAGGCAGTGGCAGGGGGATTTCTGAATTCGAGGCCAGTCTGATCTACAGAGTGAGTTCCAGGGCAGCCAGGTCTGCACAGTGGAGAAAAGTCTTCACAAAAACAAAACAAAAAAAAAAATTAATTAAAGTTAAAGGGAGCATAGTGGGAGGTGGAGATGATAAAAGTACACGGTACAGAGGATAAGATTCTCAGACTAAACAATAGTATATACAAAGAGGTATTTTACACTTATTTTTAAAGTCCTACTTTTGAACATTTACTTCAAAACAGAAGGAATAACGCAGATCTTTCAAAAGGAAATCCAGATGTGTGCACTGGAACACCTTGAAAGTATTCAGCAAATCACGTTAATCGCGAGACATAGCCAGATTCTGATCTCAGTTTTCTCCTAAAATAATGCCTGGCCTACACCAGTTCTACACAGATTCAGAATACATAAAACCCAAAGTTTATGGAGAATTCTTGGTGATGACGCCATTCAAAGGCACTGTTAACACAGCACTGTGTCACCAGGGTTCAACACGGCAGCAAGGAGGTTAGCAGTGTAATGATGCGCATTCGTAGCAAATCAGGCCTAGAGAGATGCTGATGAAATGCCATTTACTCAAAAAGCATTAACTAAGCACTTAATAGTGACCTGAGGATCATCGGTCTTATCCAGCATTGGCAGGGGGTTCTATCCTTTCCTGTACACCTTTGAGAGTGGAGAGGAGCCATGTGGCTTTCCCATAACTTTGCTGGCCCTTTCCTGTTGGAGAGATAACCGCACCACTTGAAAGTATATTTAGCTTCTCCTTTTAGGAGTCAGTCCTTTCTTTAAATCTGCTTTTCCACTTCCCTTCACCTTTGTATACCCTCCCTTCAACATCTTGTGTTCCTCCTTCTGCCCTTCAACATCCTTCACCTAAACTTCTAGCCCGTCTAGGGATTACTCAATAATTTTTCAAGGCATTTGCGATCATGTGAGATATTCAAGTATTAACCCCATTCATTGGGCATTACTGTTACTGCTGCTCAACCTCTCCGTTTCTCCTTACTCCTTCCCTCTCCGTGTCTACTTCGTCTCCACTTTGACTGTCCCAGGTCACTGCCCCGAGGCTTTCTAAACTGAGTTTCTACCACAGGCTTCCCCTCACTATGCCCCCTTCCTCCCGACTCTTTTCGGTCATTACTCTGGGATCCCTCGGATTTTGCTCCGGTGGCTCAACCTCCGACGCCGCCCCTACTTCCACTAAGTGCCCCACACGGCGGCTTAGGGGCGCTCCCCTCTCCCTTCCACGGTCTCCCAAACTTGTCTCCCCCTCAAGAACTCTGCAACGCCCACCTCACCAGGACCCGTCTCCAACAGGTCGACGACCGCCTTCCCCCTCAGAGCCTCGGGGCGCTCCCGCCGCGCGCGCCCACCCTATGGCCCGCGCCCTCCAAGGCCCGCAGCGGCCCTCCGACCTGCCTCTGCGCCTCCCGCAGCCCCTGCAGCCGCTGGCCCAGCTCCCGCCGGTAGCTCTGCGCCGCCTCCACGTTCTCGCGGGCTTCTTGCAGCAGCACCTCCGGCTCCGGCTCCATCGCCTCCCTCATCCGGCCGCGTAACCCGCCGGGCTCCCGACTGTGCCGGGTTCCCGCGAGCGGCCCCGCGCGGCTTCGCGCAGCGGAAGCGCCGCCCCGCCCCGCCCTGCCCTGCCCATCGCGCCCCGCCCCCCGCCGCTTGATTGACAGGGGACAGGGAGGGGGGGTACACGCTCTAATGGCGCCCTGGTCATAGCGAGTGGGACCTGTGGCGCCGCCTACCTAGCTGCTCCCCGGGCCTCTGTGCTGCGCCGGCTCGGACGCTTCCTCAGGAAACAACAAGTGGAGGCTTTAGTAGAAACTCGTGAAAACGTCGCTAAGCGCTTCCCACTGCTAATCTCAGGCGCTGCGTTATCTGTCCTGCACAGAGGAGGAAGTGGAGGGACACGGGGAAATCTACTCTCCCTCCCAGAGCCGAAGCTACAGCTTCTGGCCCTGCAATATCGCTCAACTACCTCCCTAGTAAATGCCAGCCAAGTCAGGCATTTTGGGAGGCTACTATGACCCAGGCGCCACCACCTAGATACTTTAAGGAGGGAGGTAAGAGGGAGGCCCAAGTAATGAACCAGCTAGCTCTACAGGATCTTGGCAGAACTCCAAGGCGGGTGTTGACACGCATTCTCCGCAAGGTCCACTGATACACAACCCACTTGGCCTGTGCTAAATTGTGTGCTTCGACGTGTTAAGTAAGTGGGTGTGACCATGTGCAGTAAAACCTTGTCCCTGAGGAGCATCACGTTCCTGTAGTCCCAGCTACTGGAGAGGCTGGAGAATGAGGATTGCTTGGAATGGGGAGCTAGAAGCCAGACTAGACAAGAAGGCTGTAAAAATAAACCTTTGAACACTGACATTTAGATATGCAGTAATTTTCACGTGTCACGACATGGTCTGTATTTTTTTTCTAACTATTTAAAAAGGCAAAAGTTATCTGTTGGAAAACCCATACAAAATCTGGTTGGGGGGGGGGGGGCTGGAGAGATGGCTCAGTGGTTAAGAGCACTGTCTGCTCTTCCAGAGGTCCTGAGTTCAATTCCCAGCAACCACATGGTGGCTCCAAACTATCTGTAATGACATCTGGCGCCCTCCTCTGGCGTGTGGGTATACATAGAGGCAGAAAGTTGTATACATAAATAAATAAATCCTTAAAAAAAAAAAAAAACCTGGTTGGAGTTGAGTCCATAACCCAAGGTGTCAGCTGTGTAAATTGTCTTTACCAGGACTAGTTACTGTCCGGGATTGTCTCAGAATTATGCAATGAGTCCGAATTAGAGGCCAGATCTCAGATGTTCTGGCCAGACTTCTGCTCTTCCTACACGTGGTCTGGACTCAGGGACGTGCACCTGTAATCCTGGCGCCTGGGGGGTCAGGAGCTCAAAATAATTCTCTGGGTGCAGACATAGTGGACATAGTGGACAGCCTGGGTGAATTCTATGAGACCCTGTTGAAAGGAGGAGGTAAGGTGAAGAAAAGAGGAAATAAAAGAACACTTGAAAGTAAGGAAAATAGCTGGCCGAAGGTGGCTCAGGCATTTAACCCCAGCACTTGGAAGGCGGAAGAAGCAGGCAAATCTCTGAGTTCGAGGCAAACCTGGTCTACAGAGTGAGTTTCTCAGGACAGTCAGAGATACACAGAAAAACCCTGTCTCAAAAAGAAAAAGAAAAAAACAGCACAAGTTTCACAACAGTCAGGGCTACACAGAGAAATCCTGCTTCAAAAAATAAATAAATAAGAAAGTAAAGAAAATAGAAGAGAGACCCCTTTTGAAAGAAAAACAAGGAAAGCAGCCAAGGGAACTGGTTTTATCCTAAAGATAAAGTAGCCTGGTCCTTAGTAGATAGTTCTTATCGGTTTAATGAATTGAAGCATTAACTAAGTAAGCAGAAAGCAGCAGGCCAAAGTAGGAAAGAACAGCGCTATCTCAGATAGGACAAAGTGAGAAAGAACCAACTTGGAGATAGAAACAAAGGAGACTCTTTAACAACAGATAGATGAGTGTTGCTGGAAGACAGGACTGCAGGCTACCTGAGACAGGGATTTGACTCCCAGAACCCACATGGCAGCTCACAACCTCACAACTATCTGTAACTCCAGATACAGCACCCACAAGGTAGCTCACAACTGTGTATAACTCCAGGCCTGGAGATCATCTGATGGCCTTTTCTGGCTTTTGTGGGCACATAATACACAGACATACATGCAAGCAAAACACTCATTCACATAAAATAAAATAAAATAAAATAAAATAAAATAAAATAAAATAAA